TGTTTCCGATTCTGTGTCTCCCTCTCTCTCTGCCCCTCCCCCGTTCATGCTCTGTCTCTCTCTGTCCCAAAAATAAATAAACGTTGGAAAAAAAAAATTTAAAAAAAAAAGTTTAAAAAAAAAAACAAAAGAATTATGAACACTGTAATGAAGATATATGCAGAATGGGGGGCAGGTCCCCAACATTTTAAGAAACTCCTAAATTATAGATGTCCATATGTGCGACAAGAAAACTGAACTTTAATTTTTTTTTTTTTTTTTTTTTTTTTTTTTTTTTTTTGGGCTGAGAATTAACAAAAAAGGAAAGTTTGTGGGCCCTTCGGTGAATCCCTTAACAAGGCCTTACCTTTCATTAATTCTCCAGGGGGGTTCTGGGGAGAATCATAAAATAGGATGCATTTGAAAACCTGTAAAGAGCCGAGTACTATCAGGGCCCCTGGCTGGCTCAGCCAGTTATGCTTCTGACTCTTGATTTCAGCTCAGGTCATGATCTCATGATCCATGGGATCAAGCCCTGTAGAGCCTTTTAGGATTCTCCCTCCCTCCCTTCCACCCCTCTCCCCCGTGTCTGTCTGTCTCTCTCTAATAAATAAACTTAAAAAGAGCCAATTATTATCAAACCAGGAAAGGAGTCACATAACTAATATTCACTGAGCAACCACTGTGTATCAGGTACCAATGGAGACCCCAGAGATACAACAATAAACAGGACATCCAAACTGCCACAAAAAGGCCATGTGTTCATTCCTGTTTATATCCTCCAGACAGGTTTTTCAGTCTTTTGCTTTTTTAAAGAGGGTACCAACATAATATAAGAAAGAAAACAGTAACATTTTCTTTATATCCGTAAGATTTTTGTTTTTGTTGGAGACAGAAGTTGGGCTATATTCCTTTGCCTGGCAAGAGAAGAAAAGAAATTCCTCACTCCCCTCCCCCTTTTTCTCCATCCTGAATTTACCACAAACATCTTGCTTTCTCTGGATATTTTCAAGAGTCCTAGAAACCATATCTTCCTGGCTTTTTCACCAGGTGGTTCAGCACCAAAAAAAAAAA